TATCTATCTATCTATCTATCTATCTATCTATCTATCTATCTATCTATAAATGTATGCCAACAACTGAAACAGAGGCACTCGAAGATACTGCTGTCTACGACATGTTAGAGACAGCAACTAACCACAATCCCCACCAGAATGAATGAATGAAACCTTATTTTTACATTACATCAGTCCTGAAAAAAAAAGAAGAAACCACGACTGGAACACCCCATCAGTCAAAAGTCCACATGTCTCGCGGAACAACATTTGAGAAAACAATGTCTCTGATTCCCTGACAACACACACAGCATTCAAACCAAGCTCCTTGTACATGATATCCAAACAACAAAGTGGACCAGAAGGTGAATTAAAAGAGGCCTTACCATGGCTTTAAATTCAGCTATTCAAATCCTTTGCAACTCGGTATGAACACATTACTCCCATCAGAATGTTATCGATACAGACAGAAAATGAACTGTACTTGGCACGCAGTGCGGCATTAGAGAAGATTGGACACGAGGAAAAGCTCTCACGTACCGTTATTCTGAACATGGTCCTCCAGCATCTCATTCTTAAGGATGCTGCAGAGCTCGGACAGGGTTTCCAGGTGGATGATGTGGATAATCAGTGGCCGCAGGACATCATATAGTGACAAACATAACTTCTCCAGCAGCTCACTGCCAAAGATGAAAAGCCATTTCAGTCCTTTATAGAGCGTACAAATGTCAAAGCCATTACTTTTTGCTAAAGCCTGAAAAAGCCCATCATTAACAAACAATGGGTGCTGGTGTGGTGTGTTGTGTGTGGCTGACAATCAAATTATTGTTGACACTCACTCAAGTTTAGGCGTGGGTTTGGAGAAGAACTCACTGAACAGTTGGTGTTCATCCTGACACACGTGAACCATAAAAGCACAGCCGCTGCGAACCTGCACAATTACACACAACCGTCAGATCTTGCAGTGGTTACAAATGCTTTAAAGCAAACTCAAATAGGAGAATTTTCCTGTACTATTTTTTTTTACTATTTTATTTTGCCAAACTCCAGGTCAGGCTATTTTTCAGAATCAGAGGGGTGTAATAACTCACAGTTATGTAGATCAGTTAAAACTGAGGGTATACAAACAACACCCAGTGTCTGCACAGCAACTCACTTTGGAGCAAAGCAGGACAAATCTCTCTACGCCTGCAGTACACAATCTGAGGTCATGGTCATTTATCATGTGCACAACTTTGTGTCTCTTCCAAATGCAGCAGAAAATATCCCAGAGGACCCATGCTGTCCATTCTATGCAAACTGAAATGTCACCTTATTATATCTAAAGGGCAGATCAAGCTTTGAACTAGTCATGCCTTACCAGAGCACAGTGGTCTTTGCTGTTTTGGCTGGTCAAGTCAGTAATGGTGGAGGCGATGCAGGGACTGAGGAGCTGCTCTCTCTGATCAAGATAGCACTGATGGATTTCATCTAGAAGCTGAGTGTATCTGCTCGCATCACAAGAAGTCCAATTTAGAACATTGGGGAACACTGTACTCACGGTAATGCTGTCACCTTGTTTTTGGAAAATGATAATACTCACTCTGGAATCTTCTCTGCTCGCTGCTCTATCTGCTCAATCAGTGACTGGATGGAAGAAATTTAATGAGAAACTCAGGAATGCACATGGCTGCATGAATTGAGTGAGAGGTGAATGATAATACTCACTCTAACTTTGGGTGCAGCTGCTCTAAACTTAACATAGTAAAGGGTAAACGCGTTGTCTGCGTTAGTCAAACCCATAGGATCCTGAAAGAAACAAGAATAGAAAAGAACATTAGAATCAAATTTCATTTCTATAGCAATCGTTTTCACTCATTTTTGTTTGTCAGTTACGCAGTTAAGGCTGCCACAATGCCTCAGACTCATCGGTGACACCATTTCATTCATTTCATCACATCCATTTAGAATAAACCTGAGGGTTAAATGTTCTAAACAGAGACCCAATAAACACAGTGCTTTTGCTAAACCAAAAGGGCCTGCCATAGCTATGAACAAACATTTAAAAGCAAAACATCCCGGGGCTCTCTGACCTATAAACAACAAAACAGTAGTGTAAGTTATTACTATAAGTTGTGCCCTATGGTTGGTTGGCCTCACTTGCCCGGGAGTCCTCATTTCACGATCATCAACTGAGTTTTAAAAAAAGTTTAAAAGTTCAATGTTAACTGAAGTGAGAAAATGATAGAAAACGCAAATGAATATGATACCAAAGACTCCACAATCAAAAACATTTTAGGGCAAAAAATTTAACAGAATTTTATTTCTGTTTACTATATTGGCCCTCACAAATAATAGAAAGAGGATAATTGGAATAATATTGACATTGTGTCACATTTCACCTGATACCAATGCTCTTAAACCTGTTTCACAGCTGCACTCTTTTGCCATGAAAGCCCAAACAAAGTCTGGATATTCAGTACAGCTTAAGTCAAGAGGGAGCCACAATACTTGGGCTGTATATTCAGATTCTGGTATCTATTTGGCCTTTACCCAGGTTTTCGGGTCATGTTTTTAAAAACATTATGCATGATTAGTAAAGTTGGTATGACATCTGCAAACTTCATAACAAAGAGCAAAATGGACAAAACATTATATTTTAAGACATATGTCTTGTAATGAGCAGTTCTAGAAAAATTCTCAACATGTTACAGCTTTATCATGCACAGTTTTCACTTTGAAGGAGAAGGAAACAATGTGTTCTTACCCTTTTTGTTAACTGGCTGGTGAGATACTGCATAGTGTTTACAATATGGACCTTCATGAAGTGCATAGCTTTGGACAGACATTGCTTAAACTTGGCCAAATAAACTGGATAATCCTTGAAATTGGGCTGTAATTGACAGAAATAAGGAGATGTCAGATAGTGTAAGGCGGGCTCTAGAGACAGAATACTAGCATTTTAGCTATTCATATGGACTACACGCATCAAAATTATCAGCATAAAACATACAAGGTGTGCACAGAAAAAAAAAAAATTGTTAGGGGCATAAACTACTTACATGCGAGGAAACATATTCAATGCAGTCATCCAGTTTGGACAGCATTGGAATAAAACCTTCACTATTTACAGATAAAGTCGGGGAGTTCAGTTTCTGCAAATATAAAAGGAAAAAGTTTTACTTTTAAGTCAGTTTTAAACTTGATGTCAACACTACCACAACTGAAATGCAAATAATTTCAGAACGAACATGTTTCTGCTGACTTCCCATCAAATTAAATGAAAGTGTACATTCTATGTGGAACATAGTCAGACACAGTTGCCTTTACAGGTAATCGACCATCCCACTGACACATATCTTAAGAGTTCATGCTATCCGTTGTGGCAAGCTAAGAGAAAATAAAACGTGACTCACCGTGTTTATGTTTTCTAGCTCATTAAAATACGACAGTTTCTGCTGAATGCTCTCTGCCAGGTCAACAAGCTCAGACTGCGAGGAGAAGAAACAGACCACAGATTAAACTAGATGTCTAGAAGATGTCATTTCAGTTAACTGCATAGATAGATAGATAGATAGATAGATAGATAGATAGATTTAACAATAACAAATCATCAACAAGGTCTCTAATTGTCTTTTTTTTTCTAAATGGACAAAGAACAGTAGACAAACAAAAGCTTGAGACCGTGACACTGTACACGACGACATGCAGCGGTCTGATCAGCGTTTTGTTTACATTGTCAATAACCTTTTACAAGCAGCAGCACTGAGAGCACATTACCTGTTCTTTAAGGAGCTGCTCACAGGCCTCGTGCAGGGCACCGGTCTTATTAGACACAAACAGGTACTGCTTCTGAAGCGAGTCCAAGTGCTCCAGAGCTGTGTTGACATCTTTCAGTATGGCATCACACTGCTCCTGGTAGCAGTTCAGGTCATCTCTGGTTCTCCTGAAAACAAACACACGCAGTTCTCTCTCTCTTCCAAACCAGAGTGGGCAGAATCAAAGAAGCAGTGAAGACACACAACAAAACACCATATTTAAAGTAAGTCACCTGTATTTTGAGCTCTCATCCTGGTCCATGTTTGATTGTAACTTAGCAAACCAGGCAAAAAACTAAAAGAAGAAGAAGTAGAAATGCTTACAAGTTAAACCGTCTGCATCTCAGCTTGATAAGCATATATGTTTGAATGGGTGCAGCCTGTTCACTGAACCGTTGACAGTCACCTGTTGTGCGGTTTCGATCCTGTTATTTTCCATCTCGAGCATCTGGAAACCTTTTAGCAAAACGTCCTCGGTTGAAGCGGGGACGGTTGCTGTGAATGGGGACTGCAAGGACCGAGACGACAAGCTGCACAGGTCCTCAATGGGCAACTGCAACACAAAACAGGTGTCGCTGGTCCTAAACAGATCCTTTTGCAGATCCTCAATTGAAGCTAACTAGCCGGATATCTTGATATGGACATGCAAACTGCAAAAGAAAACTTGCAAGCTAGGATTCTGTGAAATATTCATTTGAAAGTGACTTTAGCATAACCGAGAAACGGTTAAATCCTTACAGTGGAAACTTCTATTTACAGTTACCCTCGTCTTGAATTAGAAAGTAAGTTAGCAGCCTCTTTAGCCAGCTAGCTGTCTGAGGAGCTCCATCTCTAACCTCTGAAGGAACGGGGAGTATTTCAGCCGCAGCTCGGATCTCCAGGATAGAGTCCATCTGTTTGTCCGTGAGAGGAGCCGTTGCATCCGTCCGGCGGTCCCATAGCGAAAGTTTCTCCCGGGTTTCCTTGTCTGTTAGGTCCAGGAGCGACAGATCTGTGGACGCCATCGTCACATTAGACAGCACCAACGTCAGCAACAGCAACACACAGGTACTTCCTGTTCCGGGATAGTGGGCGGGGCTTGATAAAGAGGCTGGTCCAATCGCACTGTTGCGTTTCCCTCGCGCTCGATGCACTGAAAGTAGGCCCGTTTACATCAAATAAAATATAATTTGAAAGTGGTGTAAAGTAAATGGAGGTATTTTACTTATTTATTTTAACTTTGCCGCCAGCCAAGGGAGTGCATGTTGTTGGATGGTGGGAGGAAGACAAACATAAGGCACTGGCCAGGAACCAAGAAAGAACAGGAACCAATTCTTTTCTTCTTTAGAATATTTTGGAGTTCAACTCTTAGCAATGGAATGACTAGATATTGGTGAATTCATGGTGTTGTCCTTTGTGTCATGTTTAGGATTTTTCCCCACATCAAAAAGCAGATGTTGACTGATTTATTGGAAACTATTTTCTGTTGTTTGCCAGTGTATATTCCAAATCAGACATATGCTGTATATACTTATTTCTTAACAGTCATCATCTATTTGAATTCAGTTTAACGTTTCTTTCACATCTTTTTTCAGTATCTCAATATAACCTAATTGGGTTAACCTAACTGATGATTCATTATCATAGGTGTTTATATATTAATTGTATTAGCTATTTAATCAAAAGAGAAAGGCAGGAAAAAGGTACAGCGACAAGGATCTATAGTAAAGTTTTATATGCCTTATTAATTGTAACCACAAAGGTTTAACATTTTCTAAGTTGGTGGCTTTTTGACTGATCGTCCCCGATTACGCTGTATTTATTGAGGAGGGCCCTGTCGCTGATTCTTCATTTGTCTCGAGCACAATTTACCTTTTGGATTGGAGCTGAAACCCATAATGTTGTTATTGCAAAACACACCCAAGACAAATTGGCCAAAGTGGCAGATCAAATTTCTCTGTGGGACAGAAATGGCATTATAATGGCTAACAGCTTAATTATTTATCACAAAAAAAAAATTGAATCCAGCAGGTGGAGCCCTGGGGAACATTTGTCAAACGTGAAATTGAGACATTGAGGTCGATAAATTTTCCCTGAAATTTTCTTTTGTATCTTTAAGTATCTATAGCAAAAACAAGTTTCCCCAATTCCCAAAACATTGCTAAATCTAACATTTAACGTCTTAAATCTCGGCTGTCAGCCTTTGTTTAATCATATAAAATATAAGGTTGCCAACAACAAAGCTTCTGTTACTGAAGACAAAGCGCGTATCCTTAAAAACAAGCACCGAATGAAATTAACAACTTCGCATTCCTCAAAGGAAGTCAGTGAAACAAGAGGAACAACTTACAATTGCCAAAGGATAATAGTGTTTAATAAACCCAACAAAGATGTTTTAAAAGATTTATTAGATTTCGCAAAAGATTGTAATCAAATTTATATGTAGGATCTTGAACTTTCTTTTAAAAACTACACCATGTTCATCACTTTATCACTAAACTGTGAAAATAATTAAGTAATATAATTCTACCTTTCTCAATAATAACTGTAAAGGCTTTATAAATATAAACAAAAAGAAGACATCTCTCATTCCAGGGGTGGGGGCATCATATCGAGGAGGAGGCAGTGCTTATGTATTACACTTTTGTCTGCAGGGTGTCTCAGGGGGAGGTCACAGAGAGTTCAAATTTTCTTTTCCTTTTTTGTCCTCATCTTTGTTGAAAGGAGACGCTGCAGAATTCAAGCCACATTACTCTGGTACAAAAAGAGATGTCATGGTGAATCTTGTCAGGGGTAGTATTTTGGCTCTGCGTGGGTCAGACAGAGACCTGAGAAGTAAAAAAAGGGACTCTTCTCTTTATGGTGGTGGCGTTCTCTATTCACCATGATGTGAAAACTTGTTCAAGCATAAATGATCAATCCAAAACAAATGGCTGAAAACATCAAAGTTTGCTTTGTGTGACATGATCATCTCTGGAAGCAAAGAAGACGCTCACACAGCTTATAACTTGAAATCAATTTTATTAGATCTTATCAAAGTAAATGGAAATAAAATTGAGGCAAAGACTTGAAACTGTTTAAGTGAGGAGATGAAAAATCCTAGCTATCTAACCTGTACTAAAACATTTGCACATAATAAATATTTATTTTAAAACACAAGTTGACTAATTCAATTTAGAGGTTGTGAGTAAAAATGCTCTATTTTTACTGAATCTATTCAAGTGCCTTTTCCTCAAAGCAAGGACAAGTAAACAAGTGTTTTATGGCTGATGTGGCCTCCAAATATCATTCATCGTGACATTTTGTCTTATCAAAGTGTCAAGACTTCGAAAAATAAAGATATTTAACAGTCTGTGAACCAGTGCTCCAGAAACATGTGAGCTTAACAGTCCCTTCTTTACTTGTACTAAAAATGTTATCACCATTCTAGACGGGAGTGGAACAGCCTGTAAAAATTCAATTAAAAAAGGCAAAAAAGAGTTCAGTATAAAAGAATCGCCTTGAATGTCAAATTATAAACAAACCTCTAAAACCGCCCAGCCAAGTAGTGAACATAATTGTGCAAAGCAAGAAAAATATTTACAATTGCCTGAATGTAGATATCTTAAATAATTCCAATGGAATTCAACATAGTCTCGCATAAGAATGTACACCAATGTGTATCTGGTTCGCCTATGGTTTGAATTTTTTTCTTCTTCATTTTTTTTCTCCTTTCCCCCATGATTTGAGTGTGGTAATCACAGCTTCACAATCTGCTCATTTTGGATACAAGAGAGAAATTCCAGGAAAGCGCATTTCTTTAGTGGTTGTAGTCTGTCCCCTCCAAATGATCGGGGATGGGCAGCCCGCTGAGGATTGTCAAACATCTGTTCCACACGTTGAAGACTGGGCAGACTGGCTGAGCGAAAGTGATGTCAAAGGTGTACAGGTGCTGCGAGCCCACGGCGTCGTAGAAAGACAGCGATCCGGAGTCATAGTCCAGCAGCACCCCGAGACGTCGCAGGTGTGGGGAGGGCTCGATGGGAATCTCCTTGCTGTTGTGCCGCACCACCCACGAGTTGTTGCAGCGAGACAGTACCCAGGAGGCTGAGTTTTTGCCAACCCACTCATGCTTTGGCGCTGACTTGTAAGCAACCCCCACAGCAAACCTGGAAATGAAAGGTGAAAAAAAAAAAAAAGATCACACAAATCCAATTCTAGCGTAGATAATTCGAAAACCGTGATAAAACGAATGCAACTAAGAGTGAGACCGTCAGGAAAAAAAAAAATCTCAGAGAGTAATATCATATTTCTTTTTACCATGTGCTGCCTCCGATCAGGGCCTCCCAGTAATGGCGGCCGCTGTCGATGTAAACGTTTCCCGTGACACCGTAGCTGCTGTTACTGGAGAAGCGGTCCTGGCTGCTGCTCTTCTTGGACGCGGTCTCGTCCCTCTCTACCGTCAGGTTGTCGTGAGACACCCTCAGCTTCCGATGGGCAGACTTTGGGTCTAATTTGAATGGCTGACCTTAAAAAATGGTGCAGTTTTTTTTAAAGGTAAAATTGCAATCAGATTCTTTGACTTATCATTGATAGCAATAGTAAATCAATAAAGCATACTGTTGGTTTTGAGTCTCCCTGGTTCACTGCTGCGATTCCCCGCCTGGTTTATGGCTTTCACTATGAAAATGTACTTAGTGCCACACTGGAGTCCGTGAACAGTGTAGTGATTTTGCTTGATATTTGGGACGATCATCCAGCTGTCGACAGAATTACACAAACCTGCAGCCATGGACACATTAGAGAGAGTCACTGACAGAACAGACAATTCATCAGGAACAGAGCTCAGCTCCTAGAATCTGTGGGCGTTTTCCAATCTATCGTAGCTATTTTGTCTCATCAAAGAAAAAGGCTCGTTATCAGCCATACGGCATGTCCACGGAGCACTGAGGCAAATGAGAGTTTTCCTTGATTGAGCATGTTGTGACTATTTTAGGGTGATCGATTCAAGCAGTCTGCTTCTCATTTTCGACCGCGGATAATAGCAACCCTTTTATGTGACGTGCATCTGGATGTAAATGCATCCAAGTGTTGTTTTTCTGTCTACTCTGTCACTGAAAAGAAATTGCGCATCACTTTGGTAACAGTGGTGAGAGCTGCTCCCACTGTTATAAAAAAGAATATTGTGTTTGGATTTTACAACATAGCCCCCAATTTAAAGGCCTTCAAAGAAATCCCTTTCAAATGCCTCAATCACTGTGAATGTCCAACACAAACACCATACAGCACTCCCAGGGCGATTCATGACAAACTTACTGACAACATTAGACTGGCTGGTGAAGATGGCGTACTGGAGTTCGTACGATACGACAGAGAATTCATCATCTGATGTCCAGTGAACCGTGATGGTGTCATAAGAGGCTGTGCATAGTTCCTCACGGATTACGGGTGGACTCGGTGCTGCAAAGGGAAAACAAAAGGCTAATGTTGTTTAAAGGGAGCTGAGTGGATTTTAGTCATCCCACAGCAACATCAAAATGACAAAACAAAAAAGATGTGTTCCAGACCAGGGGTGGATAAATTGCACCATCCATTTATGTGTTTTAGTCTGGCAAGTGTAATTAATCTGGGATGGGGTTCCTCCAGCTATTACCGCTGCTAACCCCATGCAGAGTTAAATTCTCTCTGCACAACAGGAGCAAAACATAAATAATCAAACCTGTTTCATTCTGCCGAAAGTAAAGTGACTGCAGCTTGGAATGGTGAGCTTTCTATTTTTCCATCACTCACCAACAAAGTGAAATATAAACCACCTGCCGCCATCAGTGTTATAGCTTTTTAATTATAGAAAGCCACAATTTAGGGGTAAGTTGTGGATCATTTTCACTGCATGCTTTTGATAAAACCCATAAACAGAACGTGTAAATAAAAAGCTATAAAAATTGGGAGCAACTGTGAAATATAACCACAATGCAGTTGTGTAATTAAACTTGTCAGGCATTAAAGAGGTAAAACGTTCCACACGAGCTTTGTGCAAAGCTTGTATGGAACATTGAGTTTTATAGCCACCTGTCAGGTAATCCAAACTCTCAAGCATTTTCTTCTCCCTTGTGAAGTCCAAAGCAAATGTATCAAAGGTGTCATTCAGGTTAATTTCCGGTAAAAGGATTTGAGACGATGCCGTTGCCATGGACACTCTGTGATGAAGAATGGCATTCATTAATGGATTTCAACATATCTTTTCACTGCATCTCAAGTTCCTGTCATTCAGGCTGGCCTTCGCAGCTCTCTTACCTCTCACATATGCTTTTAGCTGTCTGAAGGAAGCGAGCGTGATCGGTCTCCTTCAGGGTTTGGTCAACCTGAGTGATAAGGGAGGAGGACCTTTCGATGCACTGCTTGCAGCTGGCTATCTGTTGCGCTAGCTTCCTCAGCCTCACTGCCTGGCCGGAAAATATGATAGAGCGAGATGAATATCTCGGTAAATAACCAATCTGAGGAGCAAACCTACCAGATGTTAATATCAGCTTTCCAAGTTAGAAAATCCTGCAGGGGGCGGGAATCTGATTTTTCAGACACCCTAATCTATACTTGCATTAGAGGTGTATTTGTGAAACATCCCCCGTAACACTGTCAGAGTATCCACATCCTCTTAAGTGGCTTAGCAGCTAGGAGCAAACTCAGGACCTGTCATGAGGTGAGGAAGGGAAAAGTATTCCTCTGGAGAGGACCATCAAAGGAAGCAGGGTTGATCTTAGTCTCACTGAACATGGCACGGCTTGCCACCAGCCCTCTTAAGACATCTAACAGGGTAAGAGGGAAGGGGAATAATTCAAAAGGCATTGCACATTTGCATCAAATTTGGAGAGTCAGATGCAGTACCCCAGATGATGGGAAAGAATATTCATTGAACAAATTGATCATACTGTTCTGGCTCATTAAAAACGCACAACTAATCTCTATCAAAAGCTTGATAAAAACATTATCTAATCCAACACATAGATAGATCTAACACATGATTATTGTCTTTATCTACACTATGACAAAGAAAATCATATACTCTATTAATATCTAAAAACAAATCGTTATTGTTTGCCTTACCCAGTAAAGTTGATTTTAAGTTTAAATCAATAACTAAATAACTGTTCCAAGGTCGATACTGAGCTGGAGAGAGGAAAGAAATATTTCTCAACCTATATACGACCCCTCAGATTAATTAAATCAAGGACAAAAGCTTCTACGGTTAGGTTAAGAGAAATGTTCATGGCCACAGTCATATCTTACAGATGTATCTTAGTCGTTAAAGATTTTTCATAATTTATTTTCTCCTTAGACTCTCCTTATTCAGTCAAATTGAAGAGGGGGCTACATAGCTTTTTGTGCAACCATAAAACATTTAATTGAGTTATTCTCCTCCATGGAACACTCTGCTGCAGGGCCCCCAGAAATTCCTGGTTTTCTTTAAAAGTTGGAAAACCCTTGCTATTGGTTCTGGCTTCAGAACACCGCCATTAGGCAGCCTAAAAGTGGAGAAAACCTCACGCTGGAAACAGCGTGTAAAGTGTGCCCTATTTTGGCTCGTGTCATGGCGTAAAAATGTTGATGTGAGACATTCTAAAACAGAACGTAAATGTGACAGAAGTAAATGGCACAGTTTGTGGAGTTATGACAGGTATTGTATTGTACCATTCAGTCAACGTGTTGGATTTCAAAATTCCAAAAATGTTGACCCTGAAACTTTACCCCTGCAGCGTATTAAATGAAAAAAATATTTATTACTTTTGTCCCATCAATTTTAGTGTTATTCCTAAACAAAACACACATTTTTTACTCCAAACTAAATGAAGAATCCGAACATTTAGATGAAAGTTTTTTTATATATGTTTTTGATAAGGTTTAGCAGGGAACGTTGCCTCAGGCAGATCGGTGTCTTTGAAAGCATGACCCTGTTTTTTCTTAATTTATTTTTTCTTAATTACTTTTTACATTTTGTTAAAGGAAGTTCCTATTTAAAGAATGATAGACAACTGTAACGTTTTACTTTAAAGTTAAAAGTAAATGGTCTTGAATGATAGGGCATGTTATAGTTTTGCTTAAGTTTACACACCACTCTACAGTGAGCAGTTGTGGCTCAGCTGGAAAGTCAACAGCCTGATCATACAACAGCGACAAAATTAAAAGAACACTATCCAAGTGAAAGCCATTTATCATTCACAATATATTCCCAATCTCTCCATAAACACACTTTTATATCCTGCCAAAGATGACTGAAACACACATTCCTGAAGCCACTAAATGACATTACGATGCCAATTTTTTCCAATACTGTTACAAGTCTTGAAAATATTGACACTGAATGCCTTATTTTTCTATTCTTTAAAAAAAAAAACCTAATTAGCAACCATTAGCCACTATTTTAATCAATAGTCAAACTGGGGACCGTACAGCATTGCTCAACCCAGCACCTGTGGGTTGAGTTGAGCAATGGTGTGAGAAATACCTTTGAATTCATCTGTAAGAAGAAAATCCTATTGCTTAAGTATTATAAACTACTGCTCTCGGCAGTAACATTTTGAAGATGCATTGTTTTTACAAGTTCCAGCCATTGTTTTTATTGCTGCAGTGGTAAAACGATCAGCTCGCACAAGTATGAGGAGGCAAGGGTATCGACACAGACAAGGTTAAACAAGACACAGACAAACAAAGGTTATATAGATACATAAGGTGATAAACAATACCTTTCCCTCCTTTATCTTAGTTGCTATGATTTGTCTCCTCTGCTGTATGATATTAATCAGCAGGTCACACTCCTCCAGCAGCTTGTTTTCTTGCCGTGATGCATTTACCTGTACAGAACATAGGCTTACTGTGAATAAACACATGAAAATGAGGGCTTTTCTACTGTTCATTTGCTTGGAATGAATGTTGTGTTGCATTCCGAAATATATGCAAGTTTGAATACTTCACAGCATCCATCACAAGGAGCACAATCAATATCATGCAAAGAGAAAGAGGCAAGAAACCTAATTAGAGGATAATTCTGCATTTCGGGATATCAACTAGCTTTGTTAAGAGTCTCTCTATTTGGCCATAACACATTTATGATCACAGGCAATTAAAGGTAATTAAAGTGATACTCAAATCTACAGAAATGTAATTCATTGCTGACTTGCAATCTAAAAGAAGTAAAATACTCTAAAATTACATTGTGTGTTGAAAGAAAACAATAGTATTCCACAAGTAAATGACCATTTATACTGTTTATTTTTACTGAGCATACTCAATGTACTCACATATCAACTAAATAACTAATCCACAGCCTTATGATAATGAAAATTTAATCAAGGACACATGATAAAATGCTGCCTTCAAATGGAATAATTAATCACGGTAATAATTTAATTGTTGCTCATAAAATGCCTCAGCAGCTAATAACGTCCACCTGAGAAGAGACAGATTAAAAATCTCACTTCCACACGTTGGCAGGTTTGGATGAGTTTGCCCATCAAGCTTTCCAACTCACTGGTCCTTTTGATTAGATTACTGTGGTTGGAATCCAAGGCTTGCTGCAAAACAAAATTGAAAGGGAATGCCTAATTACACACGTTCCACTGTCAAAGTGCCCAGTATATCTAGGAGAGCTGTTGGAGTAGATGGATGGGAATATACAGTGAAAACACGTTCTTCTCAAAATGAAGTGAGAACATGCAGCAACTGGATGTGATTGTCCACTTCCAGGCTCTGATTTGTGTGACGCTCCACAGAGTTCTCCCTGTGGTGTGCCAAAGATCCCACCATACTGCCTGCTGAGGCCATGGAGCTTAGCAGAGCATCTGCCAGTGATTTGGACAACTAAACCCAGGCTGTGTTAATCACTGACTGGGATCAAAGGCTTATGTTTCAAACTTAATCTCTCACTGTAATTGGGTACCATGAGGATGGTTTAATCCAGGGGTGAGAAATGTCCTCTTACAATGTTAGTGTTATTCTTTTGAAACAAAAGTCAGTGTAGATTTAAATCAAAGTAGTCTTGTCAGTCGCAAAAATTATTGAATTCCACTTGATATCGAATTGTCAAACATTAAAAGTTGCATACGTTTGTAATGCTTTCAGAAGCCATGTTTTCTGTTTTCAGTTCAATCAGATAAGACACATGCTTCACATGGTTGTTTTCCGTTATTAAATCAATTTAATTTAACCTTGAAACATTTAATAAATCATTTTTAAACAGATATGTGTATTATATACATTCAAAAATGGGACAATGAGATTTTTACCACTGTTTTCCATCACTATTTCTTTTAAAAGTGTGGATAATTCCACAATTCGAAAAACCAAGGAGGCCACCTCATATTTTATAGATTTGAGCCGAAAAGTTCTAGTTCTCGGCTGATGTGAAACTATAGTTGTCATCACTGCATGTTATGTCATTTTTAGTTAATGTGGCACGGACTGCAGGCCAGCTAGGCTCTTAGACTTTAAATAAACAAGGTCTTTCCTGAAAAAGTCATTGCTGCGTTTTCAGCTCTGTTCTTGTCTTCATTTAACTGCATGAAGTGCCATAACACATTTCTAGATGATACGTGTTGGCTTTTGAGCTCCACCTTTCCTCTTTTAGCCAGGATGCGATATAAATGATTTGCAAGAAGAACGGGACATTTGAATTATTCAGACTACTAAATGATCTCAGGCTCAGAGCAGGTTAATATGTTTCTAGAAGCGTGGCAGAGTGTTAAATTGCATTCCTAAATACAACAAAGGACATTGTTAATTTGTTAAAGTGTTCATTATTTGGAGTGCAGAGATTCGTGTAGATTACTTTGCCCCTTAGATTAAGATTCAGACCAATTAAGGGCTCTTTTCAAACATGAAACAGTCTGAATCGATCGTTTCCTTGCACGTCACCACTGTTATCAAATTCAAAAGAATGATTCGGCAAATATGATATGTCATCTTTAGTGCTGTTTGTACTATAATGTAAAGGAATCTCTCATGTTTATGCTTAAATCGCACAAAAGAAATAAAAAAGGATTTGTTGGTTTCTGTATAATATCTTCTGTGTAACATACATAATGTTTAGTTTGAAACAATATGAGAGATCCAACCTTTAAAAAAAAATTAAAAAAACAGATATCAAAAATAGAATTTTGAACATCATGCAAGATTCAAAGTCAAAGAGGAGAGCAAAGAGGTAAGAGGAGGCAGCACAGATCCAAAATCTGAAGCAAGCAGCGGTGAGACCATTTTCATGTTAGATATTTCACATTGTGATTTTATAAGGTTAGAGCGTCAGTGTGTACCAAAATAGCAAAGAGTTTATTTTACTGCTCTCATGAATATGATTTATTCATACGGAAAAGAATGGAATGAAAGCCATTTCTGATACGGTGTTGCAGGTAGAGGTGAAGCGAGTTCAAAATTTAAAGTGGAGAACGGAGCATAACATATTCATCAAACTGCCTTCAAATTCAGCCAAATGTATGCACTTTAAAGACTTCAGTGAGTCAGCTGTTTATTTATGTCAAGAGACACACTAATAAAGCCATAAAAGAGCAAATGGAAACTACAGGGAACATGAACCTCGGTGTGAGTTCATCTCTGCAGACATTTTGATTTACTCGTTTACCCGGCACTTCTAAAGCATAGCTCCTTTAACAACATTAATCTTCCTCACATGTTTGGGCATCTAACTCTTTAATGTGGTATCTTTCCTAAAATCATTTCATCCTGATGAGAGGAAAGAATAGCAGTTTCCTCTCGTGCGGGAATGCTTCTGGCCCCACACCTTTGTATTGGCCAGACGCTCTTCCTTCCTCGCACAGTCCTGAAAGGTCACTGTCAGGACCAAGAGTTTTATCCTGTGTCAACATTAGACTTTTTATCCACGGGCTGCCACTTCATCCTGTCAGCAGCATGGATCCAGGTCCACATCTGTCATTTTTTGTTGGTGTTTGAGTTTTTATTTCAAACAGAAATACACCATGCTAACTCAGCTCTTCAATTTTCCTGTATTAAACGCTCATTTTGGACTTGTGTTTTGTTTTTTTTATAATTAATTCATACCATTTTTAGTTATGTTCCTTTCACTGGTCAGTGAGGGAAACCACATTGATTTTCTTGTCAGAGTTGACGGGTGGCTTTCGCACAGAACTTAATTTTGACACATTCAGGCCATTTCACATTGTAAACTCTACTACCACAAACACTACTTCCCACAGCAGCAGACAGCTCCTGCGGGATGCCTGACACATCACAACCTAAGCTAAGGAATTGCCCTCGGAATACGATGAAGAGCTCAGGAAATTGACTTTAAAACCTCTAAATACTAATCTGATCAATTAAACATTTAAAGGATATGCTAGAACACACACAACGAAGAGGCAATCACCCACAATCCATCCTCAGGTTTCCTTTACACCAACATCCCTCCGTCAGACACTGCATAACGTTCCCCAGTGGTGTGAGCTATTTTAGATCCATAACTTGCTGCTGTTGTGCCTAATTAATTGCCTGTCAGTGTCTCAAATATTGCTGTTTCGTAATCTTTTCAGCGGAATAAGCATTGCTGCTTTAAAGTAGTGATATTTAGATACTTTCTCACAATAACCAGCTATGTGGAATTCTAAATATACCACGTTATCGAAACAAGACCTCTCAGAGGAATTGAAGGCAGATTCCAAACCAGTTTCAAATCTTAATAGGTTTGCTTGTATGCGCACCCAGTGAACACTATGGGCTTTTAATAGTACTATGCAATATTTTATTTTATGGACTGGATGGTGTAAATTTAAAGAGATATGTTATCATCTAATGAAAAGCTTTGGATGAATTTTTGCAGTTTTCACCGTGCATCAAGTGGACTTTGTATTTTTGCCAATAAATTTGGAATTTCCTGGCAACCTGACCGAGAAACATGCTTCCCTGGGATGTAAATTCTGAACACTGATGTTTCAGAAGTTAAGACACATGTTCATGTGAAAGTGTGATATACAGTATGTATATCACATACTGTATATCACTTCATATGCTGTCCATTCTATATGCTTTCATCTTTCTAACTTGTAAGCGTATTACTTTTACAGAGTTGAGGATTTGTTTTCCCCCGTGGTTTAAATGAATTCAATTGAATTTTGAGTATGACTGCTTTGTCTGTTTCCATTGACGCGCCGTAACTGAGCATCTGAGAGCGGGGCTTCTTCCTTAATGCTGCAGTCCTCTGGTCATCAATAGTAATATTCTGTTGTAGAAAATAATTACCGATATAGTGACAAACTATGATTCATGGAATTTAGAGTGCTGGACAAAATTACAGAAACTATCACAAAGCTTTGCGATATGTTGCCTCGGTCCTGTACAGCAGAAGAAACATCTTTTTTTTCTCTCACTTTTGTTACTGGAATTTCCATTTCCACTTTCACTTAACCGAACAATGGAAGTAATGGGGTCAATAGGGTTCAATGATAAACACATGGATAAGTAGAATATACCACATCATGAAAGGATACTAAACATGTAAATATTGAGCAGAAGTATTCATCTAATATTTTTCAAAAGAAAAAATGCATGATACTTTAGATGGCAGCATTTTTCTAAGATGAAGTGGATTCTGTTCATACTTTACCTCTGAACTTTATGTCATTAATCATCTGGAGGATGTTATTCAGCAACGAAAGTGTTGACATTAATGTCTAATGAAATAATGGATACACAATAGACCCAATAGCTAAACACGACAATGGGTGCATTAATAACCACCAAAGACACATCACCATGTCTGATACACATCAGTTATGGCTACTTGATAAGATTTTAATTTTACCAGATGAAGTGGATCAATGCAACAAACCTGTCCCAACTGCATAGTTAAAGAAATCACCAAATCACCTGGTCTGCCTCCTGGTGTGAAAGATCACGCCCCACACAGGGAAAGCGGCCAGGAGATTTCTGCCCAATGACAGCATGATCAGACAAGGGAGAGAAGTTAAGACTTGTCCTCTGGCCTAACTTATTCTGCAAATTCTGCAACAAAAAAAATATTGTTTGCATCCATATTCCACTGTGACCAAGCATTGTGAAATAAAGCCAGGGGCACAAAAGGGTTTTGAGTTTCATTTCTGATACTGTAAAACCATCTTTTTGTGCGTCATGCGTGAAGACTATGAGCATTTGTGGAAAGTGAAGGCATCCTTTTTTCATGCAGTCTCCACCATGCAGTTTGCATTAAGAATTCTATGTTGGACAAGGGCTCTTATTTTAATTGCTATCTGAAACCTCTCTAGTTCACTTCTTATTCCTGCTTCAAAGGCTTAAAAATGAAGTTCCATAGCTACCCTGTATCAGACATAAAACATTCTTAAGATGATGCTGAGGCCATGATGAGATACTCAACAAATTAGCAAAATTTCTTGTGATGGCAGCTCACCTGAATTTACAATGAAAAGGGAGACAGAGCTGCCTTTTTATGTCATGGCTAACAGCATCATCCTATGTTTTATTAATGTCTGCCTAACTGTTGAAAGTGAGCAGCTCCACTTTACCTGAAACTGTAAAAGTGGTCTTCAACACAGCGCATTGCAGTCAAATCTGACCGAGCAAAGAAGTGTTTTTTCTCTGCTGTTTATCATATAAAGATGATCCTTTTTGGGAAAAGCTGTATTGCTTAAACATAACACTTCACTTGCTTTACAATTCATTCAAACGGAAAAATGAACATTAATCTTTGTTAACTCTTTCATTAGTTACTGATATTACGCCTCCATCAGCGGTACTGGAAAAGGTATAAAAGTACTGGATTTCTTGAAATTTGGAAGAGAAGTTTCTTATATCAAAAGTAAAAAAAATGAATCCATAGGCTACAGATCCATATTACATTGACTGAAATCACAAAATTACAAGAGGATGCAGCCTCAAATTTCTCAACTTGTGCTGCAAATAACGTTGGATTGTTTCCACGTCGCAGTTCATTGATGGATGTTACTTTAAAGCATCTGTTTCAGATAAAGTGCAATTCAAAACCGTTAATAAGTGCTTTGTGACTTTAAACAGTTACACTAAAACCATGCAACGCCGATGCAAATGTTTATCAGAACATGTTAATCTGATATATGGTGTATCTATGGTACCGAGACAATGAGCTAAAAAAAAAGAGGTTTTTGAAAAATGCAGAAATGCTCAGATTCCATCAGCATAACACTTAGTAATGACTCCTCAAAACAGCGAGTCATTTCTTACCTTGAGTTTGTCGTATCGGTCGCTGAGGGCTGCCACTTGGTGGTCTCTGTGCCGGCCGACGAGCTTACACAGTGCACAGATCAGCTGTTCGTCCGTCACGCAGTACATGTTGACCTTCTCGTCCTGGTGCTCCAGACACATGAGCCCCCGCAGATGAGAGTCCAGCAGCGGCTCGATCAGCCGGTGGCCAGTGAAAGGCTTCTTGTTCGGGTGGGTGGCCTTCAGGCACTCCTCGCAGTACGACACCTCGCAGGTAACGCAGGTCTTCACGGCGTCCTGCGGCGGGTCCTGCTCGCAGAACTGGCACTGCACCCGGTCAGCCGGAGAAGTCATGGCTCTGCTGTCAGGGACGGCTCGCTGCCGGCGGGTCTCGTTAGGGGAGTTAGGTCCGCTCAGAGAGGCTTTCTGGTAGCGGTCGATGATGTTCTGCAGGGTCACGTTGCGTTTGAGTCCCTCTAGGCCCTTCTGGTTGAGGGTGATGACATAGCGACAGGTTGGACACTGGAAGGCGCTGATGGACTGAATAGGCTCGCTGGGGGTGCAGTGGGAGATCAGGATCCGGTGGGCGCAGTTGAAACAAAGACTGTGAGCGCAGGGCAAGAGAAGTGGGTCCTCAAAAAGCTCCAGACAGATTGGACAGGTCAGCTCTGACTCCAGCGTTTCCATTTTCAGGCAAAACAAAGTAGGATTGTCAGCGAAATCCAGGGAAGCTGATCAGCTATCTGAGAGAATGGAAAAAAGACAAAATAGAAAATGATGCCAGTGATAAAATAAGTTAAATACTGGGTGTCTGGAAATACCTCTTTAATAATAGCTGACAGTTAGATATTAAAGAATCGGGTCATTTCCATGGCTTGAATAATTAAGATGTAATAGCTAGACTAACGTGTTTATGAGGCTGTAACCTTAAGAGTCTTTCCACATTCAGAGATGAAGACTACATGGCCTGAATATTGCAGGGATCATCGGCACTCTTTATCAATTATCAAAATTTTATGAAAATATACACATAATTATTAATCTGTCTTGAATTTGAATTGATTTCTTGTGCATGCTGAATGCAAATATAGATATTATGTAAATAATATGGAGAGATATTCTAAATAGGAATCAAACTGGAAAATGAAAACGAGCGAGTGGGAGAACTCTCAAGCAAAAACATGTGTTTGCATATAATGCATAAACTTATACTGGGTCTGTGTGACTGAACTTAAATAATGCATTAGTGGCTTATCTTCATTTGGCACAGTAATAGTCTGCATGTGCTCTTTTCTATAGCATGGTCCGCGGGCGAGCCAGCCGGTGAGGACTGACAACTCAGCCAAGCAGAAGTCTATTGGCCTGCTTGCTGATGGCTGGAGCTCTACACCATCACAGACACTAAGCCTTTGTTCTCAGCCAGTCAGACACCCCAGCTGCGAGTGGACACACTGTGCTCACAGCGTCTCTCTATGTGAACTCTCTACCTCCACTCATTATGTGTGAAGAGGGCAAAAGCTCATTATCAGGACAGTCGGGCACAAGCAGCCTTTTGAAGTTGCAAGGATACAGCAATTACCCCTCAGCAAAAGACCTGGGTTTGTTCTTCCCATTCTATTCAAATCTTCTGAATTTCGACTATCCTGCTGCACTGTATAAGACAAGAGGCAATTGTTGCACTTGTCTCTTGTGGCTGTGATGCATCTATGGGTCTTTGTTTCTGTTGCATTTTTTCTTCTCCACACGGCGTAACAATGTAGGTGCCTGGGAATTACTTTTGTGGATGAAATTTGACCTCTTCACCAACGGTCTGGATCAAAACATGTAAGACATAAAGCCTTTCATCACACTGTTGTTTAAAAGCTAACATTGTCAGGACTATTCAAATGCCATCAATACGATTAACTTTCATGACACCATATGAGCAAACTACACCCTACAGCCTTTGCAGATCTTGTCAAACTGGTTAGGCAGTTAGTTCAAGCACACTGTCCTAAATACAAAACTTTGTCAAAAGAAAAACACAAAAAGGCTAAATCCTCTGATGTCATCACCTACAGTATATAATGTCCTTAACTTACAAAAAGCTTGTAAAACAACACTGTGGCAGAGAGCCACCACAAATAGACTTAACAGCCCCCAAGTACATTACACACTCCTGAAAGCTCTGCCATTCATACATAGTTTACTTTACCCACCGATGGATTTCGCCCCACTTTGCACTGCCGAGACATTTTTGCTGAAAAAAAACTTCTGAACTGAATCATAGAAATGTATGTATCGTGAATGCATCGGTCAGAAGCTCCATCATGCTCTAGGTACATGCATCCAGATGGCACAAGCCTGTGCGACCCGAGTAATCCAGCAGCAGAGCTGTCATTAAGCAAGAGATTGAGCAAGAGGTAGCAAGCACAACAGGAAAAGTTGCCCGACAATTCCAGGAAAGCCAGCTCCACCTACAGCAGGAGTTCTGGCCAGTACTGGAAGAAGAGGGAGAGCAGACAACAGTGTGGAGCAGAGAGGGAGTTCGAATAAGCAAACTAGCAGAGGGACGGGATCACGCAGAGCCCACGTCCTCACAGGCAGGTCAGTGTCCCACCAGCCCTGCCCATTCACGTATTCAAAGCATTAGGATCAGTTTCAGGCTTTCTTCTCTAACTGCCCCACAGCTTTAAGCAGCACAATACTGTGGATTGGAACATTTTCCCATTAGGGAGTTGAAGCTAAAAACACAATCACAGATAAGAAAGGAGCAAAACACAGGAAGGACATAGGTCCCTCAGCATCCAACCAACGAAGTGATTTGGATTCACTGAGGAGACCCCTTGAACGCTTGGGGTTCAGGATATGGAACAATTAAAACTCCATATGGTCTCACAGACTGCACGTTCCCTCAGGAAAAATAGAAAGACACTTAACATCCGCTATAAGACTACAACTGAAGTCGAACGTGACGAAGCATCATCTGCGAGATCCACGTCTGTCCCAGCCAGCCCAAATGTGGGAATCACTGCGGTACCATCTGCTAACCATGTGCCTCTGTTTCCAGACAAACCCCTGCTGAGCTCCGTTTTGATTCCCCTGTCATTCAGAGGAGCCTGATACACTGTACACACAGACAGATACATTGTTAATATTAAAGGCGTGCTAAAGCTGAGTCAAACACGGGTGAGCAAGCCACAACTGATGAGTGGTACACATGGGAATGTGACCGGTGTCCCCTGAGTGCTATCTATATCCTCTCCAACTGTCAAAGAATTCCCACACACATGATTATAAAGGGAATTTAGCTGTTAAATGTTTTAGCGTTGCCACTAGTATTGCTAAATCGCAGCTTCCACACTCTTTAGCTCACTCATACCCTTTATGTTTCAAACAAAAGTATTCAGAAGTGTACAAAAACACTAGTTCATGCTTCATGATCTCATATTACAAGAAAAAGGAGTGCAATTATCCCCAGGCAGTGTATGCGATATTTCCACGTATGCAAAATTGTATTTCAGGAAAATGTGATTTTACGTAGATATATTTTGATAAGCATGTTAGGCCACATAATGTACCCAAACCATCCGGAGCACATCATACATTAATAATTGGGTTTGAGATGCGGTTGCTTTTAAACCTTCTGCATGTAGATAATTTATCTTAAACCCAAACCATCTGATACGGTTGGGAGTGTTTCATCCTGAATCACATGTAAAATCTAATCAACCAGAAAATTATCACAATATATGTAAATGACTTTAACGTTTCACCAACTGTTTGAGGAAGAACTTGCCGAATATTTGGACTCAACTTGCACTGACATTTAATGCAGTTCGCCGCTTAAAAGTTACAGGGCTGAGATCAAATTCAAGGTGCTTGACTATTAGCAGATAGATGTGGGACACAGGCTCTTAACTATAATTCATTCTAGAGGGAAGAACCTGGGTAGTAAGTTAACATTTGGAGTTTTATTTGATTAGGAAAGTAATAGGTCATTTAGAGATGAAACAATTACAGTATCACAGATAGGAAGGCAATTTCCTGTTCAAGCACTCTCTAATCCTTTCGGTTATGGTCTTTTATAACCCTTAATGATAGCTCTGAACCATGTAGGCCATTGAGAGTCTGAAAGAGTGTGATTGCTCTTTGTCTTCTTTCTTGGGGCTGGCACCTAACATATTTATCTGTAATCCTGTCTTCACAGCGTAGCTGTGACCAATGTGTGGCCAGTTGCAGCTCCCTGCAGCAGCCAGCTCAGCAGCGGCCCACTCGGGCCTAATGTGATTTACAGCTGTGGCGGCACAAGCCAGCTGATTACACTGACAAATCTACCTGATCTGCAGCTGCACACATTACACAGATTAGCCTAATGGAGCCTGGCCCTGACTAACAGCCACCAATGCTGCTGTATAAATTATTTCAGAAGGCATGTTAATTAGCAAACTAAACATCCTGGCTGCTTAATCTAAAACACATCCGTCAAACAGGATGGCGTGTGGGCAATGATAGCATAGACATAAGTTTTTGCTGTGACAGTAATATCTTTGGTTTGACCATCCCTTCTGGGGGAATAAAAGGGACGGCTGAAAAACTGGGTCTCATTAGAGCTTGAACCACTCATAAAGCGGATAATGCATCCTGTTTTCTTTCATGGAAACACAGTGGGCAGTTAAACAAGTTATTTTCCTCTTCTTTGCTCCGACTCATTGTCTGTGCAGCACAGGTCATCCTGGTTCGCATCAGAAGTTGCGCCACACTCATTTCCTCTGCGCGGCTTGGCAGGTGGCATCAGCTGGGGAAAGCACCGTATCCTTTCCACGACCACAGGAACTTCACAGAATGTTGCTTTCCAAGCATGCGCTCCTAAGCTGCAGCCCAGGGGTCCAGACGGAGGAAATGTGTCGCTGCGTCCCGGAACATCGAAAATTGAACTTCCTATTAAACCCTTAATGTAAAAACTTTTTTTTTTTTTTATCCACCGCCACTGTCCGAGTAATTAGCAGACGTCACACCCTTATGATCCTCCACTGTTGTGGAAAACACTCTAAGAGCGACATCGTGTGGAAGGTTAGTGTAACAGCATAAAGCAACTTCCTGCGTCCCACTTCAGAAACATGCCAAAAACTGCCCAGTGAGCCACAGGAACTGAACAGATTACAATCAGTCCCAAACGTAATTCAAATGTAATTGAATCAGTCTAAAAAACAAAAAAAGATTTAACCCAGGTTTTCCCCACCAGTAAACCCCATGGATCAAACACAGAAGGTCCCTCAGTGTTATAAAGAACTCCACATGTGTTGCCAAGGTGACAGTTTGATATCTGTTAGTCACACTACTGATCAGAAACAGCGCTGTGCTCAGAAGATGTCTGACATTCCTCACCAGAATAAGTTACACATTAAGAAGGGACACCACTGCCTGAATCACAAGGAGAGAGGGTAACGACTAGTTTACTGAAACCCTGTTTTAAAAAAAATAGGTTTAGAGTTAAACCACAATCTTCAAGCTTACTTTTTTTTCTCCGAGAACCCCTAGAGGATTACGCATTGATGAGAGTGTTACCAAGCACACGGCTGATGACTGCTTTCACACAGGAAATCTACTTTGTCTACACCCACTCCTCCTGCTACTGTTCAATTACAGAATCCCCCTCTGTCTTCTCACTTAGTCATCTCATCCCATAAGTATTATCCCCAGTTCAA